CTGTTCTTTTCACACATACTTGTATGTATTTTCATATACATGTCCTCAATATATGTATGTATGTAGCACTAGTCCATAATATTTTTGGCTTTTGTCGCGCCAATTATTCACAAGATTTCAATCCCCAAAATGTCAATGTCCCCTTTGCGTTAAATTTACACACCTTTCCTTTCAAGGTCACCACAGATGTGAGTTCACATTTCACCACTCATAAGCACTTTCCTAATACACTATTTATTCCAGTTCGCTTCAAATTAATTATTGGTATACTGTTCATAAATCAAAGGATTTTCGGGTGGTAACTTCCAAAGTAATATATAATAGTAGTAAAAATATTTGATTGATGTTTGTTCTTTAATATTTTACTTCAAAAATGTTATGATGAAAAATATGTAAAGTGGTTTCATTCTCAATGAGGCGAAAATTTCTAACTTTTTTTTTAGTAAAAGTCGTCATTTATTATACCCATTTTTAAGACCAATCTAAGCATTCAATCCATCTGTGATTAATGGTTCTCAATAATGTGTAACCTTCATCTCTAAGCATTTTACGAAATATATTTCTTATAAATAGTCTACAAATTATTCCACCTGCTTCTTCGCCTTTAGTGACTTGTCGTTAACCAATACTGGCTTGATCAAACACGATAATTTTTCTTTTAGTAAAATAAATTTACTTTTAGGTTGTTTAGTATGTTGAAAAATAATTCGAACCTTTTATTTGATACTTTGATCTTCCCCCAGTTTATCTAACGGAACTAGTATAACAGACTGAGATTCATTTATTATTTTACACTTTAAGGCCGTTATCAATTTTAGTCACAAAAAAGTATGATGTAGTGAAGTGAGATCACGTTTAACATTTGTTTCTATTTACCTATAAGTAATCCAAATGTTAGGGAGAACATAGGTGTGGTATATCGGTGTCAAATCTGTAGAAGTAGTTAGTCAAGTAAACAATACTGGTAAGGTTCGTTGGGTTGCACCATGTCACATGCTAACACGAGTCAATAAACCAAATGATATGAGTCCATCTGCCGTTCGTACTACTCGTCTTCAAGTCATAAAGAATTAAAGTAAGGTCTTATTATTGCTCGCTTAAGTAATACTTTGAAATAGTTTTTAGTTTAAATAAGAAATCTATGAGACTAAATATCTACATATCTAGTTCGAGAACTATAAATTACCGTTATAATTAGATATTTCTAGAGTTCTTAAATGAATGCATTGAGTATAAAAAATTTCAACGTTTAAGCGAATTGAACATTTTGTTTTACTTGACGCTACACTCACACATAAATGTATGCATACTCGTAAATATTTTTAAAGATGCGTAGCAAATTCGAAAGTACGCTAATCATTTCCTACATATGTATGTACTTGTATGTACTTAAAAAATAAAATTAGCTAAATCACAGAAAAGCTTTTCATTTTTATTCGCCAGATTTTTGCTAACTTTACTTTTATATTTGTCTCCCAACAGCTACCGGCGCAGTGAGGACCTCGATGATCTCTTCAATATGACTTCTAGTTCGAAATCGCAAACATCCAGCCAAGGCGATAGCAACTATATGTTCAAATCGAACAAATCGCTGGATGTTGAGGGACTGCACGAGGAGTTGTTGATGGCCTAAAATGCGTATATGTAAATATATCAAATATTTAGATGTATGTATGTGTATGTATGTATATGTGTATACATATAAAGCCCCATATATGCAGCTGCATGGTTATAAAGTAAATAAATATACACATATACATAGTTATGTATGAAGCATTAAAGAAAATGATGAATTAAAAGCGCTCCTCAACGCCCCCTCAATTGTTTCGGAAATAACCGTTTGCACTGCAACAACAAATGTAAAAGAAACTTTTCTATTCTATTACCAATTAGATATACTTTGGCTAATATGTATTGTAGATGCCACATATTACTCCTTATACTTGTTGTTGTTAGTGGCTGTCCAAATCGTAGCAACGCTCGTGTCACAACCTACCAACCAACTTAAAACGAAACAAAATACACACACACACGCATTTAAACAAATGTATTTGTATGTGCTTATTTATATGTAAGATGCATTTACATACCTAAACGGTATGTTTAACCCTTGAAGAACAAACTCGACTTTCGATTATATGCAAAGCAGAAATGTTTATACTTAATAATGGAAAACGAAAAAAGTAAAGAAAACAAAAAAGTGGTGTGAAACCGCAGTTTTAATTAGTGGAAAAATATTTAAGTGAAATTGTATTTTATTGAAATTTCATACAGACACGCTTGCTATAAAATTTAACTGTTGAAACGATTGGCTTGCAAATGCTTTGCTTATTTCAGACAAATAATATGCGACGATAGAAGAGAGTCTTAAGAAAACTATATTCCGCACGCACACTAGTTATTTTATGTAGTTTAATTTATTTTATAAACGGAAGATATGTATATGTATGTACAAGTATATCGAAAATATTTCATATTATATTTATGTAGCGAAATGAAAGAACAAAACTAGACTAAACAGCCAACAGCTAAACAAACAAAGAATTGAAATCCCAAAAACCGCTCAAAAGTAACCTTGAATAACGGTTAATGAAAGCATATAAGACAAAATTTCATTGCAATTCAACGAAGCTAGTCCTCTTACGCGTATAAGTTATTTGTTTTAGTTTTACATATATGTTTATAGTTATGTATTTTGTATGTGTATGAAATGTTAATGAATTTTTAGCCGAATTATAGACCAAAAGGCAATTTAAGAACTTTCAATTGTGTGTTTTGAATAGTTTCTGCATGTGATATGTATTTAATTATATAATATATGTACATACTTGTATACTGACTATGTTTAAAATACACAAGATGTTATTAAAGCTTATTTATTGATAAATTAATTGTTCAATTTATTATAATTTTAATGATTTTAGTTGTGAAGCTAGTATGTGCATATCTTTTATAACTGTTAGTTGTGTCTAATGTCCAATAAAAGCAGTTAAACGTATTTTGTATTTTCTAGTGACGGTATTTAAAAAAAAAACATTAGAAATAAACATTTTTTCATTGAAAGAATTATTATTTACTAATGCGAAGTTTAAACATTTTTAAAAGTTTTAATTTATAAAAAAAAATTAAAAATTCGTGTTTTTATTTTACCTTATGCTATTTTGTTTTCTGGTTTGTTCAAAAACTTATATATATATTTGTTAAAAGTTATGGAAATTCTGCTCTGAATTTCGCTTCGCTTAAATTTTTCGGAATCAAAATATATTGATGGCTCCGATTTTGGTATAGAAAACTTTATTTGGTTTCGAGATTGATTCGATAGGTTTTCTAAGCTTAAATGTAAATGAACAGACCGGTATTGAAAATTAATTTATTCCAAAACTGAAAAAATTATTTGAACTGTTATTTCAAAAATATGCAATTTGAATACAACTAATTCTGTAATAAAAAAACAAAGTAATTAAGGCACGTGTGACGCTACTCCAAGAAACGATCAATTTGCGGCAAATTCACTGCGCGATTTTATAAGAATTGAACGTTTTCCTAAGTCAAGCTCTCTTGAAAGTGTTCATATTTTAAAAAGTTCGATATTTTTAAACACAGCATGAAATATATGTATATATTAACAGTTAATTTTAATTTAAAAATATTTTTACTTACAATTTATACATTATATTTATTATATATATATTTTTTTGTTTGAAATTAATTTTTGTTACGTTAAAAGCGTTTATGCTTGAAAATGCCATATTTTTTAAGTAACCAACTGCTGTTGAAGCAATAAGCGAACATTTTCACCACAACCAAATATGTACCGGCGATATTATTTATGATTTTTAATGAATTAATACCGTTTTAAAAACAAAAAATATTTTTAGCATATTTTCAGCGCTTTCAGCTTACACATACTACGAGTATATAAAACTGTAAAATATTTTAAGCAAATTAACAGCGTACAAAATTGTATAAGAATATATAAAACAATAAAAACAAAGCTTTTTCATGTGTAGCTGGTGTAGCTTCTAAAAATAATGAGAATTTATTAGCTATTCTGTATTGAAAAATATAAATTATAAAAAAAAAAAATTAAAAATAAATTCCAAAATGTTGTAAAACATTGTGACGACTATAATAACAACAATAGATACAAAAGCGGTCCTTCTTGTAGATACATAGTAGAGAACTAGTTGGTTCTCGAGAGTTGCTAGGGTTGAAAAACTAAAAAGACACTGGATTAGCAGAAAATATGTGTATAAATTGAAAATTGAAAATTAAAAGAAAATGTGAAAAGTAAATTCTAACCTACAAACCCCATATACTGTATTTAAAGCTGAAATTGATATTAGAGCTAAACAACATTGTAACCGGGTACTGAATAGAGCCATACCTTCAAGAAAATAAATAATTGCTGCATCTGTATATTTAAAATATATTGAATTATGATTTTTTAATGTTTTTGGGAGAGTTGTCATTGAAATCAAAGATATTAGTCGACAGAAGATTTTGTCGCCTGAACTTAAGGGTAAGTTTTGAATTTAAAAATGCATTCTTGCAAAAAATATTAGTTTCAAAAATAATTAATTATTGATTCAAAAAGTATTTGAAATAATCGACACTTTTTGAATTTCTAATATTATTGGGTATCAATGAATTATAATTGGCCGAAATTATTGGTATTATAGTCTAAACTTATGTAGTGAATAGTACAATCTATAATTGCAACCTGTGCATAAGGCAAGCATAGCGTCAACTTCGAAGCCAATAACCATCTAAATATAATGTTTAAGATTTTCTAAATGTGTGTAGGTTTTCTAAATTTGACACATTATACCTACTGATAAATAAAAATAAGTATTGCTTTTAAGTTTTTTAATCTTTTTTTTATTGTTTTTACAAATATATCTTAACACAATTTTTCATTTCAAATTCATAGTCAATTTTTTTTACCAAATTAATAAATACTACTACATGCATTAAAAATTATTTAAAAGCCTTTGATATTTCGTATAATTCGCTTTTTGCTCAATTCAATTATATTTCGTATTCAATAAAGTGCGTATATAGATATACATATATACACATATTGTTAGAGTTCATCTGATTAGTTTACATATGGTATTTGAAATTAATTTATTTCATATTGGCGCTGCCAGGATTATAAAAATATAAAAATGACAAAGAGTTAAGAACAATTAAATACAATATTAATTACTTACATATGTATGTAGATATGAGTAATATGACGTTATTATTTTCTTCATGTAACAAAACTAAAAATATACTCGTACATTAAATTCTAATGAGTGAGGATAAAATCTAAAGGCAGTAATAAAATAAAATTTTCCACAAGCTGAAATTTTTCTTAAAATTCATAAAAGTTATAATTTTTTACTTTTAATTTTGAGATTCTTTGTTATTTTCGATGTATGCTCTCTGAACAAATTGCACTTAGATTTCGTGTGTTTTTCTTTAAATATATATACATATGTACGAACGCAGCAACGCTATAGATCACAAATTCATATATTACTATTTATTTTAGAAACATTTAATTCAGTTTGAGTTCTACGTTTTTACGTACCTTCACTGGTCTAATTTCGCTTGGGTAAAAAATATAATTTCATGAGGTAATTTTTATAAAAAGTTTGCAAAATTGGTAATAATAAAAAATAATTATTTTAGTGCTCATTTTTAATTCTTTTTTTTTTTTTAATAAGCTTTAAACACATATCTTTATTTCTTGACTACCACACTACCAAAATTAAATAAATTCTTGCTTGCTCACACATCGTCCCAGTAGTACTTTACATTATCACGTTCCCGTGGCACATAAAAAGCCGCACAAGTACTTTCCCACACCTCCTTTGGATACTCCCACTCCGAACTGAAGGCCCATTGCTGTGTGTCCAAGTCGTACGACTGTACCGCGGATGTGGCGCGATTAATGGTTGCCGTTGAGAGTAAACCGCCGATAAAGTAAACTTTTCGTTTGACAGCTGCTACGCCGGTGTAATACTTAGGCATTGGATTTCGTGATTCTGTTATCCATTGGTCGGTTGTTACGTCATATACATCCACCGCATCAGCTAATACTCGCATTTCAGTCACTGGATCCTCATACCAACCGCCGAACGCATATATACGACCATCGAAAACAATAAGCACATGATCGGCGCGAGGTGTTGGCATTGGGCAGAGTTTATGCCATGTGTTAGATTTCGTGTCGAATCTCCAAAGTGAGGCAAGTACAATGTGCCGGTCTATGCCACCTGCAAGTGTATTAAGCAAAAACTTAAATATGTTTACAAAGCCTTATAGCCTTATAAAATTTCACCTACCCGATATATACAACTGATCACCCAAGACAACACCCGCATGTTGACTACGATTTTCCGACAACGCAGGCAAGTACTCCCAGCGATCGGTATTGGCATCGTAACGTTCACAATTTGAAACTGTCATATCGTGTGCCCACAGTTCGGCGCCGCCATCATTTTCGTTTAGCTCACAAACTCCGCCCACCGCATATAGAAAATGACTACCCATGGCATTTAGGGAAAAACGACAACGGTCCGCTTGTATTGGCGCAATACTTTTCCATTTATTCTTGGCGGGACAGTAACGAAAGCCAAATGGATGTATATACTCCTTGAGACAGACATCATATGAGCCCCCTACTACATACAAATCGTTGCCCAGCACTGCTGTACCATAGTTGCCTAATAATATAGAAATATGATCAATTTTAAGCTGATTCGTTCTTTCGGGGAAATTTAATAATGTACGTACATTGTTCGATGTGTGGAATAACGGTGAGACTCTCCCATTTGCCTTTTGATGGTAGATAACAACTGATACGATTTGTTAGCCCATTTGTTTCGAAGCCCCCAATCTTTACCAAGGCCAACTCCATGCCACGAGTGTTCGTTAACACCTCCGCGGAAAGTAAATCATCTGCATAAGCATCGGATAACCGCAACTTCACATTTTCTTAGTAATGTTTACTCAACATCCGTAGTAGACCGAAGCAACGAGTTCGGTCTCAGGTTCTGCATTCCATTTGGACTTAATGGCATTCAGCGACGCACCGATTTGATAAATTGTACCTTTCAAAGATACGTCTGTCAGCTCTGGCTTTTAGATCAGTTCAAACAATATTCAGCTACTATTCGAGAACTCTTTGTTCTGAAGCAATCCACCGCAATGCAAAGCGAGTACATGTTCAATGATGATCCAATGTGAGACTTAATAAATCCGGTGTTTGCGCAAACTCATCAGTCTTGAACACATGTAGGGTAGGCCCTTTTGAGGCCCAAGAGTGCACAAGTCCGCCAACGCGCGATTGCAACACAATTATCCAAATCAATTTTGTGACTACAGAAATTGAACAGGCGTCAATGCTTTATCTGGATATGCGTCGATACAGATAAAACATCTTGCCATTATTTCGATCTAATTTCAATTTTTTGAGTGTAGGCATATTCAGCAGCAGCTCCATACCATGAGCGTTAATAACCGTTAAGTTTTACATTTCAGATTGATGAGTTCCCGCATGGCATCACAGTGAACAGCTGGCGCAAAAGTAATCACACACCGCCAATACAACACGATGAGCCTAAATAAACATGGTTTTAATATAAGGTGTAGAGTTCAATTTATTTACATCCGTAAATGAGAAAAGGAAAAGAAAATGAATCAGGTCAGCTGTAAACATACGTCCTTCCACAATCAGAGTAATCATCGAATACGTTTTCGCACAACGTAACGCATTAAGGCCCTATCAACGCTTCGGAATGTATAATTGCAAAAATTATCATTATTGCATACAGGAATATGTTGGTGATGAACAAACTGATGCATGTTGGGTTAGCACGGCTTGACTACCCTGCGATAGTGGAAGACAACGCCAATGGCCATCCTTACTTGACAGGTAAAATTAAAAGGCTCAAATCATTCAAGATGTTACCAGACGACCCTTCTTCTACTTATTTACTTATTTATAATAATGTATGTAAAGCACTATAATAAAAGTGGAATGTTGCAACAAGAATAGATACTGACTTTTAATGTCAATGACGTAGTTCACTATATGGACACCAACTGTATTTAGGTTTGATGGTGTGCTACTGGATGTCATTGACAGCAATTATTATTTTCTATAAACACTTCCGTCTTATTCGTTGCGAATTTGTTGTTATCCAACAGTAAGTCTCTTATCTCCTTAAGCCAGCAAAAATCTTCGCAATTTACCACCCTCTCCTCTAACTTTGAATTAATAATTAATTATAGATTCTCGTATTGTTGTTGCAACGAATATCAAGGTTGGGAATCCAACGTTACACATACATCACATTACCATCAATGCGAACGTTATGTGAAGCTGCTCCTCTTTTTAGTAGATTTCAATGGAAATGATAATTTATTACTAGTTACAAATATTATTTATCCAATTTTTCTATAAAATCAAAACCATAGCGACAGGCATACAGGGTACATATATACACATTTTTATGAAAGTCACAAACTACAGGATGATTTAATTTTCCAAGCCCTGATCCAAAAGTTATGTTTCAAGAATAATTGATGTATTTTTCGACCAAATGTAGATGTGCAAAAAGAAATTAATTTTAAATTAATACAAAAACAATGCATAACTTTATCAGGCAACCATCTTTTCCAATAAGAAATACAACGATATTTTTACAAAATAATTTATTTTACTAATTGTATCAGTACTCTTCAAACAGTATGAACGACAAAATTATAAATCATGTGAACGGCTGCAACTTTCATACAAAGTGGTAATATTTTTCCGCGAACATTGTTAAAAGATATGAATGAAATGTGACAAATATTGACAATATTTGATTGATAAAAAGATCATAATGACGTTTGAGGCCGAAGTGAAATAGTCGAATTGCAAATGTCAGGTGAGAAACCTCACAGGGAACTCAGATTCTGTAAAATAATAATTGGATAAATAATGATATATCATGATATACGTTCTAACGAAATAAATGAACAATCTAATTAAATTTCAGAACGCATATCAAAACAGCATTCATAAAATTCGCAAATGATATTCATATCAATAAAATGATTGCATATAAACGTATAAAATATAGTTCGTCTAAGCTAACATGCGCGCTACATATCAAAAACCGTCTTTGGGCATAATTCTTCAACAATGCTCAGCTGTTCACCTCTCCACGTTAAAATTTCTCCTTCCGAGCCAAAAGTGGTGAAATCTCTATTAAAATCTTGTTAGGTTTTGACACATTCACGCTGGTCCTGAATTGAACCTTCTATGATGATGTTGCTCCTTCGCCTTCTCTATATCGTTCTCTGGCAATTTACAAATTTTAACTCCAATAACACTTTTTCCCGAAATAGATAAGGACATATTGTATACAAACAATACTAGTACTTATCACGAAAATTCTACAATATGTTGGAAAATAGCGGATATCATCTTAAATTGTTTAATTTAGTGTTTGCAAGAAGTCTTCAGAACTTGTTTGATGCGAGAACATAATTATATATACATAAAATAAATACATATATAATATAGCCGTTCTCTGTTTGATGTTCTTGCACTTTCTGTAAATGTTTTATTCTCAATCTACACCTCTTCGTAAACAGATTATTCGTGGTCAGCGTCTTCAATTATCGTGGCGTTGTTGTGACACTTATTTGTTATCTATATTGAGTCAGTGTTACAATTTCTACCTAAAGTACGCTTCGAATCTGACATAAATGCTCTACCAATACAGCCCTGTTGTTGTTAATTTATTTTAACAAACTTCCTATTGCTCTCGAAATTTAATGTATTAAAAGTGTTTGAAATTTTTAAATTGTTTACTGTTTGTTGTCTAATTTGAAGACATAATTATATCCCGGCTTTTTCACAAAGTGTATTTAGTTTTAAATTTTATTGATGGGTTTGTTTATAATGGTCTCAACAAAAATTAACTAATTATTATTTTGTATTTAAACATAAGCATATTTGTTGATTACGAAAAAGCTAAGAAGACGCACGCTTGAATTTGAAACATGAAAAATTGCTAGCGAAGAATTGCCACCACGAAGGCATAAAGACTGACTAACGAGTGTTTGAAAGAACAGCAACGTCAATATTTTCATTTTTGTGTAATTTAATGACCACAAATCTCTTAGCTAAGTTCAAAATAATTTGATAAGAAACCAGTGGGTAAAACTAATTAACATACCGTTTGAAAATTTAAATATTCAAGTGCGGTAATACCTAACTGCATAACAAACTGTTTATTGTGATCTGTACTTATTTCATATTTTCTGGACAAAGCGCTGGGATGTTGTTCACCGTAAAACTCTTACTTGTCGAACTGGTTTTAACTTTCTTCGCCGAATTAAGCGATACAACTACGCACTTTCACCAACGTAAGCGACAGCAATGGAACACCAACAGAATTCCTTGGTTAGTACATATAAGATACCAGTAAAATAAGTCCATGGTCAAAGAAGTCTCTCATAGTCAGTCAGTGAGTTTAAGACGACAAATCATTTATCTTAATGTTGGAATCAGCGGGCATAAAACAGGGCAGCATGCCATAAAATTGCTTAATAGCAAACAGTGAGTAAGGTTACCATAAGCGCAAGCATTATATTTGATCTTATAAAATATTTATTTATACGAGATTGTTAAGATATGTAAACAAAAATTGCCCTACATAATTCAACACTTTGATACAATAATATTAAATTCAATGTATCCAAATTATAATGTGACTATGTGAGCACTTTAGAAATCTTTGTCGAAATAGTTTTAAAAATACTTATTTGATAAAAATTATCCATGGTATTATTTCACAATTTCTTTAATTCTTTATCGTTAATGGCATTTTATCTGTTCAATCTTCCTAATAAAGTGTATATGTTGAGGAAAACACTAGGAAAATAGAATAAAATAACTAAACGTCTAACGGTAAGTGATTCAAATTAAATGCAGAACAAGGTCAAAACATCATATAAATAAGTTAATTACTTTCTATAGAGCAAAATAACGCAATAGTCATGTTGATCGACAAATGATCGTCATGTTTTCGAAACTACAAAAATCAAAAGAACTAATGTTCCGTATTGGAAATAACGATCATTACTTAAATTTAGATTAAATCGACCTCTAATCTTTCTCATTAACTAACAAGCAAAGCTGTTCGTTTGTAAGTGGCGTAAGCAGAAGTTGGAGCACGAATAATTTCATCGAAGGTAATAAGCCAAGCAAAGCAAAGACAACCTGCTATTTTTCTTGTTGCTGCAAACCAGTAACGGGTTTTTGTCGAAGAAGAGTAAAGAAACATCAAACTCTGCTGTTGCTTTGTCAATAAAAAGTGTTGATGCCAGGAAGCTAGTTATGTTGAGGCCAGCTTTTCAGCTACTGAATTGATATTAATATTAACCAAACCCACTACATATAAATTAGCGTGTTTTGCATGGAAATCACTTATTTATAGAATATACTTGTATTATATAATAAACTTGATAGGCTCTGCAAGATGCAAACGAATTTTGAATCGCTCATTGAGTTTAACAAACACTTGTTTTAAATAAGTAATGATATATTAACGCTATTCTTGTCATTCAATACTGACCAATTTTATATCAAAATTAGTAATATATGTATTTAATTACGTTTTGTCACAAAACTTGATACCAGAAACTTGTTTATTTAAGTTAATATTATTATTACGAACTATCATTGATTGCTTTAACTTTTTGA